TACAACAAGAGACAGGGGTTAATGCCAGGTTTCCCCAGGGCGCCATGGGAGGCTGCCCCGCCAGTAACAGGGCCTGGGATTCAAGGGGCTGGGGCCCAGGTCAGGATCCCTGAGAGTGGGTCTCACTCGTATTCGGCGGTTTCTGCCGCCTCGGTCTCCCCATGCCACCTGTGCTGTCCTCCCTCCGCTGTGGCTCCAGGACTCCCTGCGCCCGCCAGTGCCCCGTATCCCGGCAACGGGCAGCAACGTCTGGGGCTCCCTGCGCCCGCCAGTGCCCCGTATCCCGGCAACGGGCAGCGACGCCTGGGGCTCCCTGCGCCCGCCAGTGCCCCGTATCCCGGCAACGGGCAGCGACACCTGGGGTTCCCTGCGCCCGTCAGTGCCCCGTATCCCGGCAACGGACAGCAACGTCTGGGGCTCCCTGCGCCCCCCAGTGCCCCGTATCCCGGCAACGGGCAGCGATGCCTGGGGCTCCCTGCGCCCGCCAGTGCCCCGTATCCCGGCAACGGGCAGCGATGCCCGCCATGGAATCCTGCCCGAGTGAGACCGGTGCCTGTGACTCTCCAGGAGTGGGACGCCGGGTCCCCGCACCACTGCACAGCTGCCCCCATCCCCACACACCCCACTGCCGCGGCCCCTTGGCGTGTGCCACCTGCCCCAGGCCAGACTCGAACACAGAGCCCCACAGACTGGGCTGGTAAGAAGGAGAAACAAGGTCCCTCACTAGTTGGTGGGGGCCAGGGCCAGCTGGGTTCTACCACCCCAGAGCCGCATGGGCTGGCCCCAACCTCGTCCGCAGTGGGGCCCAGCTGATCTGTGCATCACACAGCCCCCCCGGACCAGCCGAGCTCAACGCCCCCCACAGGCTGAGCAGGCGGGAGCCAGCCCCATGCCCCCCCAGGTGTGCTGAGAGCCGGGCACGTAGCGGGCACCTGGAGCAGGAGAGAGCCAAGCAGGCTGGGGGTGGGCGGGGAGGAGGCTGAGGAGGGGTGGGGAGAGGGGGCCAGGTCTGGAGGTGTCTGGGTCCCAGCGATGCCTTGTCTCTCCGCAGCCCCGGGCCCCATTCCGTGGGGCGAAGCGGAAGATTGGGGGGTCCCCCCCACCAGCGCCAGCTCCATGGGGCTTGTCTCAGCTCTCCGCAGGGCCCTGGGCACGTCAAAGCAGGGCCCGCGGCCCAGGAGCAGGAAGCACAGTGGGGGACCAGGGCTGGCGGGGGAGAGCCCCGTGCGGGGCGTGGTGCGCAGCACGGGCGGCTTCGCCCTGGGCATGACCCTGGCCAGCCTCTACGGTGCCCTGGTGCTCTTCGCGGAGAGTTACAACGTCTGGTACTGCCTGGTGTCCACCGCCAGCCTGGGCGCCGGCCTGGGGCTGGGCATGGCCTTCTCCAGCAAGGTGCGCGTCACCGTCCTGCTCATGCTGCCCCACGTCTTCTCCAGTAAGTGACCCCCGCCAGCCCCGGCCCCCCGATCCCAGAGGGCCGAAACCCAGTGCCGGGATCGCCCGGCGTTATCCTCACACCCCCTGGGGTCCCCTGGCCCTAGCCCAATATACCAGCCGTGCCCCTGCCTGGCACACCGCGAGCGGCCACAGGGAGTGGGCAGAAGTGGGGGCAGCTGTCCTGGTGCCACTCGCCCCACACCCTCCCCCCAGCGCCCAGCTCCCAGTCTGCCCCCCATGGCACCCTGCATCCCCCCCAGACCCTGCCCTGCCTGCCCCACTGACGCCGTGGGGTGACTGCCGCCCCCTGCAGAGCAGGGGAAGCACATGCTGCTGCTGGTGGCGCTGGGCATGGCCATGCAGGGGCCCTGCACCAACATCCTGCGGAACTTCGCCCGGGCGGCCCAGTCCGTGTCCTGCGGAGCCGAGCTCACCCTCAACCAGACGGCCGAGCTGCTGCAGAGAGCCAGGGAGCCGCTGCTCAGTGAGAGGGGGACGGGGGGGCAGGGAGGGATCCATTGTGGAAGCTGGGGGGAGGGCTAGGTCTTTCAGGGTATTGGGGTATCCCGTGGGGGGTGCTGGGGGGCACCCCATGTGGGGAGCAGCGGGGGGAGCCCTTGTGGGGGGCTGTCTCCTGGGTGCTCACCGTGTCCCGCCCCCAGGCGCACTGACCAGGATCAAGGCCATCGCCCAGAAGGCCAAGGTGGTGGGCGACCGCGTCCGCAAGTTCTTCCGCGCCGTCATGGACTCCGTGCGGCACGTTGGTGAGTGGGGGGGGGGAGGGGGGGGGCAGCCGGGACACGGCACTGACAGCGACCGCCTCCTGCTGGCCCCCCGCAGCCCGGGTCAGCTCAGCCTGCGGCCTGCTCCACCCGCCCCCTGTCCAGCCCCCCACCTGCTCCACCTGCCCCCAGCCAGCCCCACCCAGGTCAACTCAGCCTGCGGCCTGCCCACTTCCCCCAGCCATAATCTCCCACCTGACCCACCCTGCCCCGTCTGACTCCACCCCCTCATCCACCTGTGACGAAGTGGGACTGTTCTTAATGTTTCCTCTGAATACTGTGTGGGTGCCTCAGTTTCCCCCCTGCATTTCTTAAGTCTCCAGTGCGCATAAATGGCCAACACTCTGTATCCTGGCAACAAATGGCCAGGGCCCTTCCCCCTTGCAAGGAAATAGCTAAAGGTGAACAAAGAGATCAGGTGACCTTCTGGCCCGGGAAAGAGACCAAGCCCAGAGAAGGAGGGGCTGGAGGGGGGTTTCGAGTTTGGAGGTGTGTCACGGAGTATTGGGGGACTCAGGGCCCTGCACCCCCGGCTTCCTGCGATTCACCATGCCTCACAGCCAGCCAGTAAAGCAGAAGGTTTATTTGGATGACAGGAATACAGTCCAAGACAGGTCTTGCAGGCACAGACGACAGGGCCCCCCTCAGTTAGGTCCAGCTTGGGGTCC